CCCTCCCTTCCTCCCTCCCTTCTCAGCTGATCCATATCTGAAAGGAGCAAGACTCCAGAAGCAACACTCCAAGTAGGGACCAGGAACTCCCGACCTGTCTATCTAATGAGTCTGTGACTCTTTTAGTTTAGCTCCCCAGTTCCCTCCACTACCTGCAATTTACAGCAGGGAAGGTTGGGACCTGTGCCTAACATCAGCACTTGGGAAGCAGAGGCAGGAGGACTGCTTTTGAGAAGGCCTGCATGGCCTAGCTACCAAGCTCTAGGACATCTTAAGGCTTCACAACAAGACTATTTAAAACAACAACAACTCACTACTGTCTTCTAAACTCATATTCTCCACACTGGGTTCATTCATATCATAACCCTCCCTTTGGGACTTGCTGTCTCTGTTCTGTTTGTCCTACTTAGCTGTCTTGATAATCTCAACTGAGAATAAAATCTGAATTTCCTGTGGCTGGGCATCTCCCATCAGCTGTTTACTTGAGATGTCAAGATCCTCAGGGCTAGCTAGAGGCTGGGAGGCAATGATGGTCCTCTTCAGACACAGCTAATTCAAGTGCTCTAACTCGTTGTCCCATTCTCAGCTATACAGAGGATCAGTTATAGAGGGAAGCAAGACAGTGACCCTTATAACAGCAGAAGAAGGGGTGGGCATGGGGTATATCAACAGAGGTGATGGATTCAGCTGGTCACGTTTCAGGTCAAAAGTATCATCTGGGTTTTAAGCCTGCCAGCCGCCTATGCCCAGAGAAGGGACTCCTTCATCAAACACTTGACAAGCCACCTCACATCTTTCTCCAGTAGAAAAAAAAAACACCTCTCCCACGACATAATCCCTTATACCCTCCAGCAAAAGAGGGATTATGACAGGCTTAGAGCACATGTCCCCACCTTTTTGGTCTGGTAGAGACCTGTTAGGTGCTTGCCTGGATAGAAATGAACTGCTAGAAGTTACTTGAGCTCTTTGGAACCTGCCAGGTAGACAAGAGTGTTTTCATCTTTTCCAACCCCGAAGCTGTCTCTTCCACGCCCCCAAGCCCAGAGAACAGCCAGGGGGAAGGCGGGGCAAGTCCAGCTCCCATAGAACCTGAGTCTTCAAGGTGACACCTGAGCACCCAAGGAGCAGACCTACCCAGAAGATAAAAATCCCTGGTACAAAGGGGGCACCCCAAAATGAGCTCAATCTTGGCATTACAGGTTCCCCAAAAGTGACTTCATTAGACCCTTGCAAATGGTTTACCTTTGAGAAGTCATTCGGCCCTCACTGAAGCTGTCATTACCCCAGGTCCCATGCTCCCCAGGACGTGACTGTAACTGAGTGCTCCTGCTCTCCCCACTCCTCCGAGTTCAGAAATCTGATTGCCATGTGTGCAGATGGAAACAGGGACCCATGACTACTGCTGAGCTACATCCAGCCCTAGACTTCCTAAAGTATTTCAAAATGAGTACCGGAAACCTTATAATTATGGTATGATCAAATCGAATTTGCTTTTGTCTGGGATGATGTCGAGAGCGGAGCCAGTTGGTTGTGCCCTGTGTTGAACAGAAAGGTCTGAATGCTTTTGATTAATTTTTAAAAGGGGAAAACAAATGATCACGTAGGCCTTATAAACACATTGCCGGCAGCTGACATCTCAGGAAGATCCATCCCACACACCCCTGTAGGAAGAATACCCAGACCCCCTTGGGGCAGAGACCTCCTGTCTGCGGGCTGCATTCCAGCTGTGAGCACTCTATTTCTTCCTCAGACTTTGGGAAGCAGTGGGAATGCAGAGTCTGGAAACACTAGCTGCCTGGTATTTACACACTTTACCATACATGGGAATTACTCTACACTGACGTCAGACAAATTCCTGGGGAGCTGCGTAGTCCAAGCCACGTCATTACCATACAAAATCCTGACAACTGGAAACAGTAGGTGAGGCTCCTGTCAGGGCTCAGGCTACTGCCTCTCATTCCTCAGGCAGCAGCTCTTAAGGGGTGGAGGGGGGAGGGGCTCTGACTGCCTCTTTTCCAGAACTTTAAAAAAAATCTTTGCTGAAACATGCATCCAAAACACAGACATATAGCAAGTGTGATGAAAGTACATCTGGGAAGTGACTTGTGTGGCTCCCTGTACCTCAGCACCCAGCAGTGTGAAAACCTAGAGATCAGGCAGTCTAACCACAAGCCCTTCCATGCTGAAGCCAGTAAAGCCCTGTCTCCTTTTCAATAACTGCCACCATGAAGCAGCTTGTAAAGCTAATGTCTTCAGTAATGACCCCATTTCCTTAGGTGACCTGGAATGAGGAAAGTGATGGAGCAAAGAAAACCAGCGGGTTGTTGGAGCAGCCAGCCTATGTTTGAGCAGCAGCTCCTTGGGGACCAGCTGTAACCTTGAGGTAGTCCCTATCATGGCTGAGTCTTCATCTGTAGAAGTAGCCAGTATCAGCTCCCTCCTCATAAACAACATCCAAGACAACACAGTCCAGAGGATTTAGCTCTAGATGGCAAGCAGCAGGCACAGACACTTGCTTAGTGTACTCTTAAGGAATCAATTTGGTGCCTCTAAGTATTTGCCAATATGCCTGGATAATGCCAAAGAGCTGAATAAGTGAGGGGGACTTCAGGCTTTTTTTTTTTTTTTTTTTTTTTTTTTTTTTTTTTTTTTTTTTTTGTTTTTTTT